GCCAGCTAGATTAATACTCGACTAACTAGAGCAATACTGGACTAATAGATAAATGCTCAGTGAGTTAAAATCATATTTGACCAGCTAGAGTAAACTTCGACTGGCTGGAATTATTTATACTTATTAAACTAGAGTAATACTTGTCCAGCCAAAGTAATACTAGATGAACCAGAAAGTAGTACTCGTCCAGGTAGTACTCGACCACATTGAGCAATTTTCAACTATTTAGAATCATAATCAATTAGCTAAAGTGATAATCAATGGGCTGCAGTAATAATCGACTATCTGGAGTTCTCGACCAGTCTATGTAAAACTCGACTTACACGCCCAATGTGCAGTATTCGATAATATACTACATTAAAATGTATATCATGGTGAGAACTCGACCTGACTTAATTCATTTAAATAACATGCAAGAATCATCGATTTTGTTGATGTGGGAGCGGAGGTTTGTCAATGAATATACACCCACACATAATCTGCATGTGTGGATGATTTCTATGTTGTGGGTGGTCAGTGTGATTTACTTCATCTGCTTAAAAATGTCATTTAAAAAAAAAAAAAAAAACGAAGGAACGAATTCATCAAGTATGAGGTCAGAAGTGAGAGACATGGTAACAGACTACATGCACATCAAGGGCGCTGGAACCTGGAGGCTCAGCGCCCCCCCCCCCCAATAATTGTTAGAGGTGGTGGAAACAGGAGATGGAGGTTGAACAGCCTACATGACTAAATGGTTTCCCTGTTCATTTATAGGCGTATTATTTATAAGTATGTGTTTATGCATTGCACGTTACTCCTGTTAACTACACTTCATAAGTATTTGTTTACAGATTAATTGTTATTTCAAAAGTTTTATTAAATTTATTTGCAATTCAGCACATAATAGTAAAAACATACGTATAATTATAGTGCACTTAAACAAGGCTTAAGTACCTGGAACGCTTCACCTCACCCCTTGAAAATTATGAGGATCCACCCCTCCCCCTCATGTTTTCTTTGTGCGGCACTCCTTGTGTAGGAAGTCATTATTCTAATCACGCCGATTTAAAAAAAAAAACAGCCTCTATAGAAAACGTCGCTGTGTCACTCTTGTCTGTTAACTCGGATATCCTGAAACAGCTGTATATTGCCGCCAACAGATTATTACCATTGTGGCTATGCAGAAAGAATAATCAGATTTTGGAATCAATCGTTGATTTTGTCCACTGGGAAATCAGGTTGATTTGAATGTTAATACCGTTTCTGACTATTTTGACAGAAATACTACACTGACAGTTCAATAAATACATTCATCATCTTCGTGCAATGCCGTTATAGGTCATACAGGGCTGGCAGCCGTCCTCCATTCCGTTATGTCCTGTGCAGCCGTCTTGATATCACCGATGAGATTCAGTCCAGCACCCTTTGGCTTCTCTCAGAGCCATTCGTCTCAGAGTTTCTACAGTTTATTTATTTTAAAAAATTCTTTGTTTCTCCTGGCGACCTGGTTAATATTGCCATGTTGTGTGTGTGTGTGTGTGTGTGTGTGTGTGTGTGTGTGTGTGTCTTGAAACTGATGATGCAAGCGCAGCGGAGAGTTAGTTAGTTACTGGCGTTATTTGTGTCCAGCTGTTTGGGACAAAGCTCTTACATTTTTGGAGTAATAACGTAATAGTTAGAGCATTACTTTTTTTTAAATTTTTTTAAATGACCTACCCAGCCTCAAACTGCTACCATGTAAAGTCCTCGGAATTAACGTCGGCAGGTGGAATGTTGACCATATCATCTACCGAGTGTCGATTGGTCTAACAAGTATAGGTCTAGCCCTATATGCCCAATACGCCTGAAGGCGTGGAAAAGTGTCTGTTGCTTTAACTGACTTGACTTTCCTTTTCTTTACTTGAAGTGAACGTTTCCACCTATCGTGCTATAAAAGTTGTCGATTCCGTTTCAAATAATTATTCATTTTGCAAATGAAGGTGTTTCGGAGATCCCAGGGAGTGGTCGCTTGAGCTTCTGAGTTTCTTCCTCTGTGATTCGTTCTCACTGTAGAACAATAGCTCTGCAGAGTTAGAAAAACCGTATGGGATAAAACCCGGTGCAGTGTATGGATTTGGCGGTTTCAAACACTTTTTATGGTGTGTTTTCCCCCCAGCTAAATAAGTGTTACACTTTGCATAGTAAATTATAAATGAAGGTCCTATTGGTCTAGATTCTCATCTGCCTGTCTGAAGATCTCATGTTCAAATTCCTATCAAGGCGGATTTTTTAAAATAAAATGGCACTGGGTCCCAGGTCGACCTCTTCTACAATTGGTGGCAGGTTATGTTTTTTTTGAAGACTTGTAGACTTAGTTTCAGCTTCATAGCAAACCGGTCACTGCATCTTTGCTTCGCTCCTGTGCCAACGAAAAACACACCGAATGTTTATCACAGTCCCTTGTGGAAAGATTGACAGACTGCTGTCTCAGCATATTTAGCATACACACGCATTGAAGCATGCGGTAGCCATCCGAAGTGCTAACACAAATCGCACCATTTTCTGAATCTACAATTCACAACACCAGGTTGGCCACACTCGAAAAAACATTTCAAATTAAGTTTTTGAAGTAATGGCGGTAGGCATGATGTTCACCACATCACTTAAGGATACCGAAAGGTCCATCTAAGCATAGATTTAACACTATATGCTCGATAAGCCAATATCGCGAAAAGGCGCCTTTGTTACGGACCCTGTGGGATTATGTATGATAATTCAAAAGCCATTTAACCATTTTTGCCTGAGAACGAGATGACTACATTGAATGATCTGTATGAACACTGATATCCACAGATATCGACGAGTGTGAGGACATCCACACGAAATGCGACAAAGGAAAGCAGTGTGAGAACACTGCAGGAAGCTACGAATGTCTGTGTCCACGAGGACAGAGGTTCGACATTTCCAAGGACAAATGTATCGAACACGCACCACTCCCCAAGCATAGCTTCGCACGTACAGGCAAGGTCCGGGCACACATACAAAGTAGGTTGAGATCTTCGTGGTTCTCATGGCTATCCCTGTTGTCTTCTTGCTCTTTAAATCTACCCACCATACCCCGCTTTAATCGAAAAAAATACTGATTTGTGAGAGAATATATAAAAAATAAAAAAGAAGAAACGTTTAGTATTAAGGGTTCATTAAAGACGTCCTCCTCCTCATCATTATCATCATGTAGTAAGTCCTTTGCAATACGTCGAAAGAAATTCAGTCACCAGGTCTCCTGCCCCTGTACTTTCATATTCAAGGATTCGCTTATATCCTGTGCCCATCTTCTTGTTGGTCGGTCCTGTCCCTCCTTCCTGGTACCATACCTTCTGCTATTACTTTCCCAGTCTGCCATTGCGCTTGATATGACCAATTTATTTCGGCTTCCGAGACAAGATTTTGTTTAATAATTCGCAAGTCTTCATCGATGTTCAAATCTGTTAAAATGTATCTCTTCTCTTCTTTGTCCGTGGTATTCTGAGAATCTTTCCACAGCATTTCAGCTCAAAAGCCCCTTTTATCTTTCTTAAGGACTGGGAGATAGTCAGCGACTCACATCCCAGCATTGCCACAGGGATGCATGCTATCAGAATTTTGATTTCCTTTCTAGTGCTTAACCATGGACATTTAATGCTGTTTAATATTTTTTATTGCTATGGCCATCCTGCTGTGAGCTGTAGATTTCATATAAGATGTGTGTGTGTGTAGTTCCCGCGGCGTTATGTTGACTATGCTGAAATAGCCGGTGGCTGATTATTTTAAGAATGTTATATACTTTGGGGGGGGGGGGGGGGGGGGGGGTTGCAATATTGGCTTTTGTGACTGACCATCTACGCACGCTAACAGTGAATTAAACTTTTCAAATCTTTCGATTAAATGTTCTTAAATTTCACCAGGCATTCGGTTTGTGGTGTGTTTAACTTTCACCCCATGTCTTCACTGGTTCTTCAGCTTCACTGGTAAATGTTAAAATTGCAATATCATTCAAACTGAAAACATTTCCTATGCTCACATTTCAACTCACAAACGCTTCATTTATTGTTTGTTTTCAGGGTCCGCCTTTATGAGAATGGTAGAGTACATACTTGGCTTAAGGAAAGACACCGGTGCATAAATAACCAGATATTAATATGTTGGTGATAATCCTAAGATAAATAAATTGTAAGGTATTGATGGACACTCATACACATAAGAAGTAAGTACCGTCAGGTAAACTTACTGCATCCTCCCTTCCTTTTTTCCCCTAAAAAAAAAAATTAATAAATAAAGCTATGATTACCGCAGTAAACAAGATAAGATTTTGAGGCCTTATAGAGATGTGGTTTTAAGAAAAGATATGGTGTTATTGAAGAGATGTGGCCTTTTAGAAGAGATGTGGTTTTATAATAGAGATGTGGTTTTATAGAAGGGATTTTATTTTATAGAAGAGCTATGGTCTTATAGAAGAGATGTGGTTTTATAGAGAATATGTGGTTTTATAGAAGAGATGTGGTTTTATAGAAGAGTCCTTGAAACCACATGGACAGCCACAAAAAGAGCAATCCAAGTCTGTTAAAGAGATGATTGCTCACAGACAATGACAGAAAATGACAGTCGTACTCATGTGGTCTTGTTATAAGAAGAAGGAGACTGGGAAATGTTATGACCACTGGAAATATAATTGGAAGAAGAGATAGAGGAAAACAACGCGAGAAATTCCTGACAGTCTTTTATCATGGCATGGAGGTGTGTCAGAACAAGAACTTTTTGATGCTATTGAAGACTAAAGAATGTGCCGAGGCATCATCGCCCACGTCAGTTTGCAAAGCACTTTATAGTGATGCTGATGACAATGCTGATAGTATTGCAAATGATGCTTGCTGATGGTGCTGGTAGTTACCGCTCTGGACGCTGAACTTGTCGTCCCCATATTCTACCGATAAATGGAGTACATTTTTTTTTAAAATTCACTGTATTTCAGTAGCCTCCTGGGTTCCTAAAAAAAAATTTACTGGTAATAATTTTGTTTGTTATCTTGTTTAGTGCGGCGTCCGTGGCTAAGGCTTTGAGAGTCCGACTCGTAATCCAACGTACCGCGATCAAAACCCACTTGGGGCTGCGTGGACTTTTATCATGGTATGGGACATCGCAGGTCGACCCAGCCTCAAATGGGTACCAGGATGGCTGTCCTGGGGAAGTAGAGACGGCCGTCGTAATGCTGACCACATTATCCACCGAGTGCCGTTGGTCTGTAAAAATATGGGTGCTCTTCCCATATGCCCGATGCGCCTAAAGGCGTGAAAAGTTATCTTTACTTTTTACTATCTTGTTTAGTGGCAGCGGCGGATGTGTGGTTTTATAATATGTGATTTTATAAACGATTTATAAGAACACCCTGACCTGCTAAAAATAGTAATAAAGATGTCTTGAAAGAAATTTATTCACAAAGAAAACTGACTGCCCTCATCAGAAGCAGACAATCTACATTCTTTGATCGTGTCATGGGGACGAGAAACATTGAGTGTATCGTGACCGTGGGGAAAGTAGAGAGGAAAACACACAAAGGGAGGCAGAGAGGGAAGATTCTGGACAATTTAGCATTATGGATTTGTAAAATTGTGGAAAGACTTAACTGCCACCACCTCAAGGCGTTAACAAAAAGGAAGATCTTTTTCGCGCTGCCATGATTATTTGATTTTTGTTGTTTGTTTTGTTTAGTATGATTATGTTAAGAGTAGCGGATGGCCTAGCGGACAATAACACTGAGCTCTCATTTGGTAAATATCCTCTGTAATGTGACAGATTTTTCCTTTCGATGGGGGGGGGGGGGGGGGGGGGGGGGGGGGGAAGAATCCTAACCTACACAGTGCTTTAGGATCTAGAGCCCCATGACTAGTTCAGTGCTTGAGACCCTCGTGTCTTACATCGCCATACAAAAGTAGTAAAAACTTACAGCAAAGACAGTTTACAAACGATTATTATGAATTATAATGGTTTTTTTTTGTTTTGTTTGTTATGTAGTTTTCATGGTTAAATTACAAGTTCATTATTATTTTTCAAGTTGAATAGTCTCTTTCGTGCAAATATAGACAATTATGAATATTTTAAGTTCCATTTTAAATTCGTTAATAAGATGTTGGGTATTCTATACAAAAATTACCTTTAATAATTAAAAACAAAATTTTAAAAAATTATTACAATCTGTTTAGTTTTTCCTTAAACCAAAGTACAGTAAAACTTCGTTTAGCCGTCACCGCCCGGATCAGTTTTGTAAGAGAACCAAATAGACGGATAACATAAATCGCTAAATACATATGCACATAAACGTTATTTCTCTGCGGGTTTGGGACCAAATTGAAAATAGCATCCTTTACAAGTGAAAAATACATGCATAATTATATTTTATAAAACGTTCAAAATAAACTAAAGTACAAGAGTAGTAATGTACAGAAGTGTATTGCAATACAATAAACCTGCTTTACTTTAAAATAATCTGTCATCACCTTCTGTGTCATTAAGGCTCGAGCTTTACTGCGCTGCAATGTTCCGTATTTGACACAGAAGTGGCATCTGTGTTGCATTTGCCTACTCTTGAATGTCAAGCCAGTCGGTGCACTTTGACTGACATTGTTTCCGCTGCAGCGTGGCTAGGTGTAGCTTTCTGGTTAACAACTGATCCCTCATCGCCATCAGTTTCTTCTTCTTCAGTGGTAGTCACAATAGAAACAATTTCACCATCGTTCAAAATTGCAATGCCTTTGTTAATTTTGTTGTATTCCAGCCAGTTATGTTATTTGTTCAGCAGAATTTTTGATATTTCAATTTCGTCAGTAGGTTGGTGCAAGCGTTTATTCCACCCATTCTTTAGGTTAGATATATTACATAACATAACATAACATAACATAACATAACCCTTGACCCATTAGGGTCGTGGAGGTGTATTGATGGAAGCACTAGTCTTCTGCTTGATGAATAGGTGTATGAAAACTTAGTCCTGTCCATTTCTTGATGTTGTCTTTCTAGGTTCTGTTTTTGCCCTCCTCTTCTTCGACTAACCCTCCAACCCCATCCTCCTCCCCCCATGTTCATTGAAGTACAGTCTTTGCAATCGAATTCTGTCTCACCACGTGTTTAAACAAGCTAGCTTACAACATTTCACCACTGCAAAGAGAGGCTCATGATGTCCTGTCAATTTGTAAATTTGGTATCTGACATATTTATTACTTAGACACTGTATGGTCAGCCCAGACAGTGGAAATAGCGCCTTTAATTTTGTATATCTCCCCCCCCCCCATCCCCCCAGTCACGGCATCTTCAGATTACAAAAAAATTAATAAAATTAAGTAACGATCCCTTTTCGCGCCTTAGACGCATCGGGTATATCGGAAGAGCATCCCATATTTTTTACAGATCAATCGGCTTCAGATTAAAGCAAACCCTTAATACACGTTTTCACGTGACGTCCATTCTTAATTACAAGTATGCCCTAGTCCATTGGCTAAGTAAGCGAAGCTATATTCAATGGGAGAAAGAGGCATGTTATTTTGCTATCATCATTTCTAATGTTGGATAAAGAAATTGACATTAGATGTAGTAAAGCAAACCAATTATTGGGACAGCTAGCATCCCTCTTACAGCATAAGACAATCCCAATCAGCACAAAGAGACATCTTATTCAAAGCATATTTATTCCAACTCTGTGCTACCAGTGCCAGACATGGTCACTCACAATAAACCATAAAAGAAAATTAGTAACCACGGAAATGAGATGTCTGAGAAGGGCTGTAGGAGTGACCATAAGAGATAAGATCAGGAATGAGATCATAAGAGAACAAGTCGGCACAGAACCAATTCTGGATTACATACAAAGACAGCAAGTGAAATGGTTTGCCCACTTAGAGAGAATGCCTTGTGACACCATACCATACAAAGCATACATGGAAAGAGAAGAAGGACGCAGAGCACGGGGTAGACCAAGAACAAGATGGAAGGATAACATCAGAGAAACTCTACGACAGCACGATGTGCCTACGGTCGAGGCGGCCAGAAGAGCTAGAAACAGAACCTTATATCTCCCTCGACACCCACAGCGGTAAAAGAGGAAGTTAAGAAGAAGAAGAAAGAAGAAGAAGAAGATTTCTGAGTCCACAAGAGGGGTCTGTCGGGAGCATTGCCCTTTAGCAGCAATACTTCCTTCGGCAACTGCTTTTCGGTCAAATGAGTTCTAACTTGAGGCACGAAGACATTGTAAAACAAATTTAAAAAAAAATTTTTTTTGGGGTCCAACATAGCATTTTTTTTTTCATTAATAATCCGTAACTACATTTTTGAAAAAACATGCTGTTTTTACAAATTACAAACATAGGTAATCAATGATTGTCGGTGGCATTTACACAGACAAAAGTGGTGATCCGATATTTGTGGACCTCAAAACCTGGGATTTTCGTTGATTTTGTTGTTGAAATTTAAACACACCCGTAAAATACAGAATAGTAGCACTATCGTAGGTTACGCTTGGAAACGTTAATCATGGCATTATGAAACAAAACATTGATTAGAACAAACTAGCCACTCTGTTACGACCAATACGTAACACAACAGCGAACGGTTGGTGAAATGTTTGTAGCGCACCAGATCAAGCTCAACTCCTCCGCCACCGACGATTAGTCCCTTCCAGGTTTATACAGTCTGGTGTAGAAGTATTCCGTGGACAATTTTATATGTCTGTCTATTTGTTGAAACTCGCTCTTTTATTTTCTTTTTAAAGACGATGATGGATAACAGAAAATTCGTTTAAACAGGTCAAACTAAGCTGAGTCAAGAATTGACATAACAGCACTCGCGGCATTCCCATACGTGGTCCCTCTCATCTTCAGCAGCCAGCGCTGAGTTCGAGTACTAATTGTACCCGTCGTAGTCTGTTTAAATGTCCATCTTGCCATTACCCTGAGCGCCGTGAGCCGGTCAGACCCTCTGGTCACAAGCAGGTGCTTCATTCTCTCCAGGTCAAGATAATCAAGCTTCTCTTCCTACTTCGTTGCTTGTTCCCAAAAGGCCCTGATCAGATATGCCTTGTCATGTATCAATTAACCACGCAGTGGTGTAGATCCAGCAAATATATCTGCCTGTTCATTC